ACTTGAAAATAATAATTTTAAATGGCACTAATATTAAAAAAAAAAAAGTCTGGTAGTTACTCTTTATTCTGTTACCAACAAGAATAGGGATTTATATGCAGTTCTGAGCTAAGCTGATTTTGCATGTACTTTCAGGGGGTAAAAAAAAATCACAGAACTTGAAACCAATGCACAAAAACATTGTTCAAATGGAGTCTGAGTCTGTATACAAGTAAAATCAGTACACAAGAAAAGGTTAGAATGGATACTGGAATACAGCTTCTAGCATTTGCTGCTGTGATAGTTGCAATACGGTGCTGCAAAATGTTCAGTGCAGTTACGGACTGAAATTCTCTGCGCTTCATTTACTGCTTTTGTTACTCCAGATTGCTAGGATAAATTTTAAATACAAATATTATTCCTCATCAGGTGGTTTGCTCTGCCTGTATCACCACTCCATAATGTTACCATGCTGTAAATGGACCTCTTCCTGTTTATTTGCCCTTTCAGCAATTCTGAAGATTTGTTCTTCCCCTCTAAGTGCAGTATAGGCTACTTCTGCATGGCCAGTCTGTTACCTACATCCACTGAAAACACTTGTTGTTGCTCTGTCTTCTCTTTGGCCCCTGTGATTCTGGCAATATGGTAGCTGCATTTATTGGGGCACTCTGAAACCGGTCTGTGAAAGGAATTTGCAAAAGTTACCACTGCTCAGAAGATCTGAAGACCAGAACTGGAGATTTTTTCCTCCTTCTGTAAGTGTCCAGACCTCTGAGGGCCTTCCCACTGCACTGTAATCAGTATTGGCAGGCCCTAAAGGTGGGGCTAATACATGGAAAAAGAAACTTAACAATCAGAGCTATCTCTGAATTCATACAATGAGCAATATGAGATTCAGGCTGTGATTGTCTTACACAGTTTCCTCATCTGGGGAGCACACAGTCAGGGAGGGAGTTAGAGCTCATATAGGAAAAGAGGGCTGCCGTGTGAACGGCATGAACCTTCTTCATATTGCAGGGATTACCACATATGATCATGCCACGAGATGCATACAGGAGGACTCCTTGGTTTTGTAACAAATTTCCACATTTGGAACTTCATTCCTAAAAAGGAAAGAAGAAACTGAGGAGATTTCTCTTTTTTTTTTCAGCTGTATACTCCCAGATTTTTGCTAGGTCTCCCTTGCTGACCAGCTGTGTTCTACCAGAAATAGTTTGAGAGGTTTTTTTTTTTAAGTAAGGCAGTTCGCAACCACAGCACTTAGACATAGTAGCATAGGTTGCAAGTGCAAACCATCATTATTTTTATACCATCATTACATATAACACAAGGGGGAAATGCCAATAACAGTCAGTTGCTCCCTGAATAAAAACGTTATCTCCTTTCCACAAAAAGTACAATAATTTCAGGCAATGAGTTAAGGTTGTGCTTGTCAAATAAGAATCCAGGTGACTTGTCTCTATCCTATAAAGACCTACTTATAGCGAACCTATATTTTGTGTTTTATTATGTTGGTACTTAAAAGAATTTTTGAATTGCCAATACAGGGCTTGCTGAAGATTGTTGTCATTTCCAGTCCTGCTTCTAGGACCAAGGTGTGCTGAGTACTCTCTACATCAGTGTTTTTGCACAACTGGGCCCTATGTTTCTGCATGTCAGGCGTTTAGTTAGCTGCTGATCGACACAGAACATGTATAACTTCCCTGGAGCTCCAATCGGGATGTGGGAGCACTTCACAGAACAAGTAAAAGTTACGATGCTGGCGCTTGCATACAGTGTCCGTGCAGAGCGAACAGGTCAGAGTCCATGGCTCTGTAGTAGTGTAGGCTTTCAGACTCCGAATGCAAAGAAAGACTGGGAGGTTGTTGTCACTATGAACAAAGAGCGATCATTTGAATTACTAAAAGTGCAGTTATCGATTTGTTTTGGTTTGGTTTTTATTACTCTCTACAAAAAAGGAAGAATACCGCTATGTAGTGATAGTCATTTATTTTAAACCGCAGAAGACAAATAGTCTCAGAAAGGGATATGCCTGGCACCTTTACTGCTTTCTGTCAATTGCAGGGGAAGTGAATTGAGGGAATGCCTGTTTCTTTGCCGTGGGTATAGTAAAGGTAAAGCATGTACCAGTACAACTTTTTTTTTCCTCCCCCCTCATCCAACGCATGTCTTTATTTTTGACCTAGGTTTTGGCCACTTTGCGTAGAAAAACGATGTAGGGGCAGTCTTTAAATGCTGAATAGCCCGAGATGAAGAAGTCACGTGCCTGTTAAAGACTGGCATTATTTTAAGTGGGACTTACACTGCTGTGTTATTTTGAGCTGTCCCGATTACCCAGGAGCGGACAGGGTACTTTCAAAGACGTTTCGGCTTCAGTTATCCTACAGTTTTCGGGGGGCGAGGAAGGGGGCGCGGCGGCGGCCCGGCTCTCCGGGGTGCCTCCCGAGAGGCGA